ATACATAAGTGAAACATTAAGAAATTTACCACATCAAAATCAAATCTCAAGGCAACCCTATAAAACATTTCTTCTTAAAACATAATGCAACACCATTGATTTTATAAAGAACGAAGTGAGAAATCTTTATACAAATAAATGTATAATAAATCTAGTGAAGTAATAATTTCTTATTTTGAATGCAATTCCATAAACTTATTCTTTCTAGAGTATTTTTCAAAAATATTAACTCCACGTACTTTTGCCTCAACCTCACCCCATTCAAGAAATTTGTTGGAATATTGACTATTGGTTTATTGGCACCCAAAATTCATGTATGCTACCCATACGGACAGATATCATCAAACCAACACCGGTTCATGAATTAACCATCCCTGAGGAACCTTTTGAGTCTTGCACCCTAGGGTCTCATCGCCTTTCTTGCTTTTTAGGGGGGATGTGTAGGGGCACAACCTGTGATGCCACACAGGCTGTCACCGAAAATCACTACCATCACCAATCCTCCCTAGGACTAGTAGCCGCCTTGGTAACCCCCCTCAAGGGCACCAACCGTCTACTAACCCTCTACCTGTCGGTACCGAGCATACAAGTTTCAAATCATAATTTCATGATCACCTTCCATTCCCAACACCAACCAGTACTTCGACACTTTAAAAAAAAATACACTGTTTTACAAAATCTCACATTTCCATTTTTAACATAACACATTTTCAAAATAACTCACACACACTCCAAAAAAGACAATTTGTACCCTTTTATAGCAAATTTTACAAATTAAATGATTGAGAAGTTATATACATCAACACCACCCTTTCCATACTTTAAAATAACTCAACAATACCCAAAATCATGATAAAATATACTCAATCATATCATACAAATTAATATCTCTTTCCACAATTTATCATTTCAATACTTATAGTCGTTTTGACATTTTATCAAACACATGTAGACATAAAATTTTCATATACACATTTACAAAGTAACATACTCATTTTTAAGAGACAAATCAAATACATTATATACAAAATCACATATATCCTAAAGAATCCAAAATCTTAAGTTCAATCAAACACCTATAACAAAAAATCAAGTTAGAGTTTCAAACCAACAATACCCAAATTCATTTAATGCATGTAAGTTTTTAAATTTGTAGTAAACTAATCATTTAATTAAGACCCATAACATGTATTTAGTTCATATTAAACCAATAGGTATAGAACATAATGAGATACATCAATGTATATGCAAAAGAAAGGAAAACCCTACCTCAAAACTCAAGAACCCAAGCTCCACCTTCAAATATTTAAGTGAATTCAAGAAATTCATTCTAAGTTTTCAAGCAAAAGCCCGAGCTCTAATGACTTTCTTCTCTCTACTTCTAAGATTTATGGAGTAGTATTGGGTGAGAGGTGTGAGAAAAATGAGAGAAATAGAGGTGAAAATGGGGTTATAAGGACTGAAATTAGCGCCAGATACTGTTTACAGGACCCAAAAAATGTTTTTTCTCTAAAATTATGGTTTTGCCCCAAAACTTCTCCAATTTGATCCATATGACTACCTTAAGGTTTTTCGACATTTTAGATCCACTTTTAATGTTATTTTAGGTTAAAAACATTTATTTTTATGCGTTCTGTACAAATCCAAGTCAAATTATACCCAAAATACCAAATTTATAATTTTTACTCCTTTGAACCATTATATGAGCTAAATGTCTACTCCAAGGTTTTCGGACTTTTCGGATTCAATGGTAATGTTATTTTGACATAAAAAAGCTTAATAAATTTACTTAATTATCCTTATCAACTTTAAACAGCTCAAAAATTAAATTTGACCTAAAAGTTAATATGCATGTAACTCAAACTTATGCAACTATTCATTTAACAATGATTCGAAATTTCTTTTATCATTTTAATCATTTTAAAAATATTATCAGGTTAATATAATTTATATGAAATATGGGATCTCACAACCACCGCTGTCGCCACCCTACCACCACCACCACCACCGCTACTCCACCGCCACCTTTGCCAAAAATTTGTTATCCCCACCACTGTCGTCATCCCACCGCCACCACCACCATCACCACTACCACCACCCCAGCACCACCTCTGCCACAATAACAACCACCACCCCCACCACCACCATCACTAAGGGCAGAGCCAGAAATTTTTTTTAGGGAGGGCACACTAGCATGGTTTTATTTTTTTTAATAGATCGTAAAAATTCATAAATTTTATATTTATTAAAATATTTCATACTTTTTAAACATAGAAGATTAAAAATCGATATACTCGTAAACAAAAAATGATAAATAAAACTTCTTATCGAAAATGCAACTAATTATTATTACTTACAATTGATCTTAATATGTTTTTATTATTTAAAAGAGTTACAAATTAATTTTATCAATAATATTTCTTTTATATATAAAATCAAGGTAACAATTTTCTATTTATGATCCTATATTTTACTACATAACGTCACACATTTTTTATACAATAACGAAATAACCCTATAATTTAAAAAAAAAATTATAAAATAACATTAATATGTTGAAAACATATTCTTACATGTCCAAAAGTTAACAATTACATTAGTTGTACCTAATTTGATATTTAATTAATAGAGACCCAATGGTTTGTGACTATTGGATAGACAGTAGAGTTTATTAAATATTAAAACTCACTATTATACTTAATATTGCAATGTATTAGGTCTTTAAATTAGGTTTCAATAACATTGGTCAAAAAGTTAACAATCATTTACGTAGGAGTCTATTCAAATCAATATCATAAAAACAAAATATTATGGTGGACACAATTAACCATGTCTAAATTTTTTTTTCAAAAAATACATACTAAGTATCAAGTAAAAAAAAAAAATTTGAGGGGGGCAATGTGTCACCACCCTAGCGCAAGGGTGGCTCCGCCTTTGACCATCACCATTACCACCGCCCTCACCGCCCCACCACCACCACACCAACAACATTATTGACGCCACCCCATCACCATCTCCACTATTACCACTACCATCTACACCGTTACCATCGCCACCCCACCGCCACATCTGCCACAAAACCACTACCACCATCCCCATCCTCACTACAACCACCCCACCACCATTATCACCATCACCATCGCCATCACCGCCACCACTACTACTATTGGCCCACCACCACTACTATCGCCGTCGTCGTCACCACCATTGCCCCACCACTACCACTACCCAATCACCACCCCCACCCTACCCTAATTGCCCCATCACTACCATTGTTGCCCACTGTCACCTACTACCACAGCCCACCGCCACCTGTCGTTGCCCACCATCATCACCGGCCACTGTCACCCACCCCCTACCATACCCACCACCACTACCCGCCATAGCCCACCACTACTGCCACCCACTGTCACCCATCCCCACCACCTACCACAATCGTCATTTGTTGCCACCCATCACATTGTCGTCTAAAAGCACCCATCGTCACCCACCACCATCATTGTCACTACCTACCACCACAACCCACCACCGCCATTACCGTCGTTGTCGTCCTACCACCCCCACTGCCAACCACCATAACTCACCATCGCCACCATTACTGTTATCGCCCCACCACCCCACTACCAACCACCATCACTGTCGCCCACAATTACAACCGTCATCATCCATAGTTGCCACTACCACCATCATCACCCAAAATACACCACCAACACCACCATTGTCATCCACTGCTGCCACCATTACCACGATCGTTGCCATCTATCACAACCATCTCACCACAACTACTGTCTCTCACCACCAGTACCATCATTCACCCCCACTATAACTGATGCTTAAATTCTATGTTTGTAATTTAATTTTAGGTGTGAATATAAACATATTTATTTTTTACCATTATTTTGTGCCTTCAAGTACAGACAATAACTAGTCCTACTATAAAATGTCAATAAAAGTGAAAAAATTTTGTTTAACTAAAATGACTTTGATAACTTGAGTAATGCACATATTATCTATTTCATTTACTGGCAAACACTAATATTATTAAAGGTTACTTGCATTATTAGACTTCTGGCTATTAAGTTGCTTTTGTATTTTCCTTAAATCGTACATATATTCTATATGTCAAGCACGAGTTAAAGAAGTTCATCGGTCATTTATAATGTTGCATCTCCAATTCATCCAATTCATCTGTCATTCATAAGTAGCAATTCGGTATTAGTAGTTTTCTCTCTTAATTTCTAATTCATCATATGTCTAATATTCTTCTACTTACTTAAACCCTAGGTCTATGAGTTTCTTGCTTGTGATCATATTATTTTTTTTGTTTCTATGTTTTATGGTTGTAGGGGCTGAATTTCTATGTTTCTTGTAAGGGGTGTAGTTATGTTGCACGTATATATAGGCCTATCAAAATCGGATTCAAATTCAAATTTGGAACAGTCAAAATTTGATCCAAATCCGATTCATTGATAGGCCTACGTATATGAATGATAAGAAGTGGTTAAAATCAAAGCATTCCTTGAATAGAATCAATAAGCATTAATGGAGACTATACTAGTTGAATTCATTTTGGGTATTATATAATTCGCAGTAACATGATTTATTTAATTAATTATTCTAGATATCTCGATACTAACTTAATTTTTTGGCTATTTGTGTCATGTTTCTGGCTCGCATGTATAAATTTTGAACCATAAACCAAAGATAATGATTCCCTTTAACTCAAACAAACCATCACTCTTAGGCGTACGTAACATTGAACCATTTGTGGATGAATTTTTGTTGGTGTTGGCCTTTCCAGTGGAATGCTTGTGACTCGTCTATTTGTGGATATGATTGGAGGGTGTGGTGTTCTTTTGTATCAGTGCTGCGATGGTCCTTCCTATGTTTTTTTGCTCTGTTTTACGATGTTTTGCTGCGGGCTATCCAGGCCTGCCTATCTGTTCGGTGTTGGGTGGGTGATGTTTTGCTGCTGTTGGTTGTTCTTGTTGCTTTCATGGATGGCTCCTGCTGGTTGCGTTCATGGTTGCGTTCTGGTTGTTCTGGATTCTGCTCTTACCACACCGCTGCATATTGCTTGCTGGGTGTACTACTTTGGGGGCAAGTGGCGTGTTGCTGGTATATGTCTTGGTGGGTTTTTGTGTTTGGTTGTTGGGCGCACCTCTGGTGGGGCATGTGGCATGTGCAGGTTTTGTTTTGCTGGTGCTTGCTTTGGCTGCTATGTCTTTATGGTGGCTGTGCTTGATGCTGCGGCTGATGATGTCGTGTGTTGTTCTGCTTGGTACTGCTGTTTGGTATTTCTTTTTGATGTTCTTGTCTTGATGTCCAGTTTGTTGGACCTGTCGTTTTCTGTTTTTCTTCGGGAATGTGCTTCGGGGATGGGGGATCTTCTTTTTCTTGTTTTAAGAAGATCTTCCATCCCTTTTGGGTTTAACATGTGTACGTTTTCCCTTTCTTAATGATATTATCTTACTTACTGAAAAAAAAAACATTGAACCCACTCGATTTTGATTCTAGCAAAACTAAGTAGTAATACTAGTTCAAGAAATTAAAAAACAAAGGTCTATTTTTCAACTCATATTATTCATATTTGACATTAATCCAATCTTTTTTTTTTAGTAAGTAAAAGAATTTTATTCAGAAAAAAGAAAGTTATACAATAAAGCTTAATACTTGCCTTAAAGTTAAACTGAGCATGAAATTAAGAGAGTTGCTCATGACATAAAATCTAAGTAAGAATAAGCACCTAAAAGATTTCATATTTTTGGTGGTGAGTTACCGCCTTGCTTTTGCTATGATCCTTCCATTTTGTACTTTTGTAGGTTTGGTTCTTTGTCTTTCTCGTTTGTGCTTTTTTTTTTTTAGTTATATATACAGGTAGGGGTCCAGTCAAAACCTCCACTCACACTGGGTGACTTTGGAAAAAAAAAAAAAGCACCTAAAAGAGTTCATCACTTGCTTGTTCTATTCCCCTCTCTAGATGATGCACCAACATTTAAATTATTTGATTTCTATTGGAAATATGAATTCAAAAGATAAAGTAAACAATAGGGTGAAACGCGGACCAGATCGCTCTCTTAAGACAATTTGTGCCTCTTTGTGGAAGAAACACAATGCAGAGAAGGTAGCAATGTGTTATCTCAGGATATAACAACTTAGTCTAATTGACTGTTGCTTCACTTAGATATGTACAATCGAATGAAACGAAAGAGTCACACGGTACCTTTTTATATTGTTCAGAAAATTAAAAAAAAAAATAGTGAAGAATATAGAAGATATAGTAGAATATATAATATCTATTCTAAATATCTGATTATATATACAGAAAAAATGTAGCTATTGATTTACGGAAAATAAAATAAAACAATAAAAAGTGGTTTTCGCATTATTTATTATGATATTTTCTTGAGAATCAATAGTGTATATGCCTGGAACCTAATTGGCAAGCTTTAGGACACCATCCTGTCGTGCTCGAATATTAAACGAAATTTATTGCAGTTCAACATCAACAATAGATTTGATAAATAAAGTAGAACATATGATTAGGTCTATGTAGAATTGTTTGTGGACCCATACATAGGTTTTTTTTTTTGAGAGAGAGAGAGGCAATCCATCTCATAGGATGTCCAGATTCAATGGCAGTGGCAGGGACACTTGAGTACTCGACGTGGCACTTATGTATCCTGGTTTTATATTTTTGTATCTTTGACTGATCCCTCTATGTTGAACTTCTAGTTGTCTAGATTCATAAATTTGTAGGGTCTCATTATAAAAAATTGACAAAGTGTGGAGTGTGATTGGCTAGAGAATGAAAATTAAATGTGGAGTATGAGATTAAAGGGAATTAGGAGGTGTTTTGGTATAATTAACCAAAGGTGGTGAGTCCTAGACAACACTAATCACAGCTAGAAGCCTATAGCTAAAGAACTTCTGTAGAGTCTTGAGTTAGTGGAGCGTTCCCTTGTATGTACTGGTTTCTTCGTTTGAAGAGGGAGTTGAAGGATTTTTGGAGGAGCTCTTCAATTCCTGTTGAAGATTTCGGCAAGGAGTTGAAGGAATTGTTGTTCAGTTGGAACAAAGCAACCCCTTTCCTCTCCATAACCTGCATAACGATAGGTTCAAGCTCTTAGGATGCTTTGCATAGAGTTGAAGCTTCAAGGATTTTAAGTTTGTTCCACTCGGATTTTCCGACAGAGTTCCAGTGGAGAAAAATTTCTTGTGGGTAATCTCTACTTCTCTAACTTAGTATGTTTAAAGCTTCTATGTGTCTACGGATTGATAGTTGGACTGTTTGGAAGAGGTTAGGCTTAGTTTAGAGAAAAGTGATTGCAGAAAGAGTTAGAACTAAGTTTATATCTCCGTACAAGGAATAAGCATCACAAGACTATGTTGTACCAGTACAAAGGCATTATGCCTTGGGAAGCACCGGCACAATTTACTGTTAAAAGTATAAACTTTATTTAGTTCAAAAAAAATTAAAGTCTAGGGAAAATTAATAGA